AGAGCGCTGCTCACAGCGTGTCGTCTCCTACTGCCCAGGGCATCTACAGCTGCTTCAGCGGGGTGCAGAGCCTGGCCAGCCCACCGCGGCAGCCCAGCCCGGACCTCACGGCCAGCTCGGCCCAGGCCAGCGTGCTCAAGATGCTGCAGGCGGCCCGCGACATGGTGACCACGGCGGGCGTGAGCAGCTCCCTGGACCGCGCCACTCGCACCATCGAGAACTGGGGTGGCGGCCTCCGTGCGCCCCCACCGCCCCCCTGCCCGACCCCGCGGTCCGGCCCCAGTCCGCGCCCGCCCACCCCCGGCCCACCCCCAGAGCCGAGCCCCAGGGGCTGGGGACCGCCAGACGGGGGTCGCGCGGGGCTCCTGCGCAGGGCTCCGCAGCCCCCGGGCCGCCCCCCGACGCCTGGGCCGCCCCTGCCAGACGTCTCCCGAGTGTCGCGCCGCCCAGCCTGGGAGGCGCGGTGGCCAGTGCGGGCAGGGCACTGCGGGAGGCACCTCTCGGCCTCCGAGCGGCGCGCGCTCCCACAGCGGCCCCTGTCGCCCGCGCGCTGTCACTACAGCTCCTTTCCTCGAGCCGACCGATCTGGGCGCCCCTTCCTTCCGCTCTTCCCCGAGCCCCCGGAGCCGGAGGACCTGCCGCTGCTCGGGCCGGAGCAGCTTGCCCGGCGGGAGGCCCTGCTGCACGCGGCCTGGGCCCGGGACTCGCGCCCGCGCCACGCTTCGCTGCCGAGCTCCGTGGCCGAGGCCTTCGCTCGGCCCAGCTCGCTGCCCGCCGGCTGCACCACCCCCGCCTGCGCCCGCCACGACGGCCACACGGCCTGCAGGAGGTTGGCGCAGGCGCAGTCGATGTGCCTGCCGACCTACCGGGAGGCCTGCCAGGGGGGCGGGCAGGCAGGGGCCCCCGCCTGGCGGCACAGACAACCCGTCTGCCTGCACGCCCACGCCCACCTGCCGTTTTGCTGGGGGGCTGTCTGTCCTCACCTCCCACCCTGTGTGAGCCACGGCTCCTGGCCCACTGGGGCCTGGGGGCCTCTGGGGCACAGGGGCAGGACTCTGGGGCTGGGCACAGGCTACAGGGACAGTGGGGGACTGGACGGGGTCAGCAGGGTAGCCTGTGGGACGCAAGGCTTCCTGGGACCCTGCACCTGGAGGCGGATCTCCAGTCTGGAGTCAGAAGTGTGAGTTATCAGCCACACAGGCTCCTAGCCACCTGGATTCTCTGCCTGACACTGTCAGGATTAAGGGGCAGGCAGGATTGGGCTTTTCTGGCTTCTACCATGAAATCCTGGCCATTCGACCCCAGTGACAGATGATGTCTTCCATGGTCAGCTCAGTGACCTCAGCAGCCTCAAATCATGGTGTGGGCTGGGCTTTTGCTGTCCTCTTGTCATGCAAAGTTCTGCCAGGAGGGTGTGCTGTGGGGGTCAGACCCTGAGGCTCTCCTTGCACTGGGGCTAGCCAGTTCCTGGTCATGGCTGTTGTGGGCATGGAGGCTGGAACCTGTGGTTGAGGCAGGGCTATCCTGATCCTTGCTCTGCCTGGCTGCAGTTTCTTCTCATTGGAGCACTGGGACATTAAACCAACCTTTTACAACCCACTGGTCCTGGCTGCTTCATTCTGCATTCTGGAGGAGGCACAGCACAGCCAGTAGACAGTAGTGTCATGGGAATATCCCAGGTGGGGTGTTTGCCTAAAGCAGGTGGGCAGCTCCCTGTGGGGGAGATGGAGCCTTGGGAGGGATGTGGTAAGGAGGTGAGGCTGAGGGGGGGCTCTGGGCAGCAGAAACCACTTGGTATTCAGGGCCAGCTCCCACCCATCCTGGCACTGGATGTGACACGTGTGCTCAGCACGGGGGTTCTGGTGATGATGGATGGAGTTCAGCCCTCAGTCTCCTTGAAAGGGAGGCTTGTGCCAGGAGTGGTGGCTGTCCTGCCCTACCAGGGATGTCCGGGGGGGCCTGACAGTGCCGTGGTGGCAGAGGCAGAGAAAGGTGGGAACTAGTGGGCTTGCTGAACCCTGGCTGGCCGTGTTCTCTCTGTAGCTGACACGCGAGGCTCGGAACTGCCTGGGCTCTGAATCCTGGCGCAGGTGGCTGCCAGGGTCAGGCACAGCTTGGCCTCGCTGGTGCCAGGACGCCTGTGGTGAGAGAATCTGCCTGCGGTCTTATCCTCTGTCCTCCCTCTGGGACTTCTAGCCCACTTCCTTTTTCTATCACACCTCTTTGGCCCATCTGAAAAGATGGCTTTTGCTTATCATTTTCAGTGTTTTCACATCTGCAATTACACTTATTCCCACTACAGTGACTGTGGAGCAAGCAGGCGTTCATTCTTCTATCCATTCCACCAACAGTGAGCACTATTGATTCTGTCAGACCCTTTCCTCACAGCTGAGGATGTAAAGGCCAAGCCCGGGCTGTCCTGACAAGTTGGGTGGAGGCAGGGCAGAGGCTAATTCCACGGACAGAGGAAGCCAGGAGGGGCGGTGCTGGCTGGCTCCGCCAGTGCCCTCCCGCACAGTTCCTTCCTGGTTCCCAGGAAGCTAGGTTGACTCTTTAGTCTCTGAAGGCCCCACTGCTTGGGTTGGGGCCATCAGAACTGGACTTTTTTGGGGTTAGTTTTAGGGGTGAAGGCAGCTGAAATGGTGGGGTGGGATACATCTCCATTCTTGGTGGGAGAATACCCCGGAATGGGTGGCCCTGTCCAAGTTCACGCTGTCTGCCCTGTGCGTTTTCACGGACTGGAGCCAGGTCCAGGACAGCAGGTGGGGAGTGTGCCTAGGTAACTGCTGGAGGCCAGCACTCTGGAGGGGAGGCGCTTGACCTTGGTCGCAGCCACTAGTAGTGAGGGGGTTAACTGTTGGCCACCAGCCCCTGGAACTGACCCCTTCCTCCTCCCTGGAGTCAGGGTCTGCCTTTGGCCCTGGGAGGAAGGTTGTGGCAGGTCAGGCAGCTGGGAGGAGCTGTGAGGTCAGGGCTGCTCCGCTCTCTGCCCAAGATCATTAATAACCAAGAACTGGAAAGATCATTAAGAGCTGAGCCTCCAAGTGGAGCTGAGCCTGCTGCTGGCTCTCAGGAGGGGCGACTCCTGCTCCCAGGCCAGGCACTGGCTGCCTTGTACCTTCTCTAGGAATATATTTGGCAGGGGGGATGGGAGGGGGATGGAGGAGGGAGGCAGGGAGAATATGAGTCCTGGGGGACAGGTAGCAGGAAGGGTACATCCTGAGTTCAGAACTAGCCTGGCCTGGCTTCCTGCACCACCAAGGGAAGGGAAGAAAGCCTGGCAGGGGAGAGGAGAGAGAAGGCAGGCCATAGATGTGTAATCATCATAAGCAAGGGCCTGGACACCCAGATGCTCAAATACTGCCTTTTTTCTTTTGGTGAGATACAGGAAGAGAGAGGCCCTTGCTGCTGGTCTCAGAGCAGGAAAATCTTACTAACTGGGGTCCCTTCTGCTGCTGCTGTAGCTGTTTTTCCTTGTGCCTAGCTGAGTGGCTTGTGGCCCAAGCCACCTTTCTGCAGGGAGCCAGGTGTGTGTGGGAGAGGAGCACAGAGTTTGTAAAAGGGCAGGCTGATGCCAGGACCCTCCAGCCTAGCCTGTCCTGCTCTTTGAAAGAGAAGGACTGTCCTCTAGTTTCCTAGGGGACAGGGGAACCAGAGACAACCCCTCTCCCCAAAGCCCACCAGATTCCAGAGAATTCAGGCCAATTTCCTGTTTCTGAATTGCAATCTGGTGACAACTCAGCTCATTAGGAGGCTAAGAAACCAAGTAGGTGTCCTGACGAGTCGGGGGCCACTGGCTGTAAGTGCAGGTATGGCTGGCGAGTGTTGTGGGAGACAGGTGTCACTGAACAGCTTTATTGAGCACTTTTGTGCTGGGCACTAAGCTCAGCACTTTAACCCCCACAACTGACCAGTGACACAGCTACTATTACCCCACTTTACACACGAGAAAGGATAGGTCACGGAGGCTCGCTGCTTGCAAGTGGCAGGCCTAGCTGCCTGATCCATGCAGAAAGTACCCAATGCCATGCCTGGCACATAATGACCCTCAGCGGAGGTTACCCCTCCAGTGTGCAGTCAATACCACTGGCCCACACGGAAGGGATCCCAAGCTCTCTCCAGCTTTCCCTTGGCCCTTAACCATGGGTCACCCTTGCTTGGGAATCTGCTCCCTAGACAGGACACTTCCACTTCCCCCAGGCCTGGCACTGCCAGTCACTGTCCCTCTGCAGTGGCTTTCCAGGAGTGGGGTAGCAGCCCCTGTCCTTCCCTCTGACTCTGGCTTCTGCTGTTGCCGAGGCTGCTCCTGGCCCTGTGGTGAAAAGAGCTGTGTGGCTAGGCGCCTGGCACAGTGCCACAGCCCACCTCCGCCACCCAGTAGTGCCTCCCGGTCTGTCACCTGCCACCTGCCCCATCTATAATCTTGCAGCTGCTGCTCTAGCCTCAGGTGAGGAACAGCCAGGAGCTGCTGGCACGAGGTGCTGCGGCTCAGGTGGGTCTGGTGCTTCTGTGGGGAGGGAGGCAAAAAACGTTTACTCCCACCTTGACCTGGCCTGCCCCTGGGGCATCTGGGGCCATGCAGGTGGCGGACGATGGGTAGAGGTTGCTGGCTTTAAGCTTTCCTCCACAGCGACACCTGTTCCTGGGTCAGGCTGGGCGGTATCCTCTTCTGCTCTCCCCACCACTGACCCTGGGGAGCATCTGCATAATGGAAACCACAACCTAGACTTGCCTACTTTGCCAAGCTGATGATGGCTGCAGTTCAATGTGCCTGATACACATGGAGAGCCAGCATCACCTGGGACTGTTTTGCTGCTGTGGTCCTCTGCCCCTGGCCCCAATCCCCGATGGCTGTCAGTGGCGGAATCCTGGCGTCCATGGAGAGGAGGGTGACCCCATCTCACTACTAGCAGGAGGACACTGAGGAGCAAGGCAGCTCGACCACAGCAGTGGGGAGGGTCCCCGCTTGGCTTCAGCAATGTGGTCACTGTGGGCTTGTTCCCTCCAGGGCTGGGGCTGCCTCGGCTCAGAGGTGGCAGGGAGTATAGCCACCAACTCCATGGCTGGGCGGCTCCAGACTGTCACATAAATCAACCTGGGCTTTATGAAGCTAATGAATTTGCTCCAAAATTTGGTTTGGAGCCTGGGGCAGCAGGATGATTCAATCTGCTTTGTCTCTAAGTGAGAGGGAACGTAACTGGAGAAGGGGAATTCCAGATGCTTTGAGTTTTCAGCAAACAACTGGGAAGCTGTAGAGAGAGCCCAGGCCACAGGAGCGAGGCCAGGTCTTCCTTGCTCTTGGCCTGGCCACTGCAGGCCCCTGCTCTACCCACCCTGAGGGGCCTCCTGGGAGGAGCCACAATGGCAGATGGAGAAGAGGCATTTGTTTTTCCTGTGGATGGAAAATAATGACACGTGGGGACAAGCGGTAAGGACCGCCAAGGGGTGACGGCAGTGAGAAAGCAGACTGAGGCCAATTACACCTTGAGGGACTCTCCCAGGCTTCAGCTGCCAGGGTAGAGGTGGCCCTACCTGCGGGCTCCCCAAGTTTCCTGCAAATCCCACATCCCCCTGACCCTGAGACCATCTCGGGCCCCAGGAGACCCTGCATCGTTGCTCTGTCAGAGGTCTGAAGACGGTGAGACACGGGAGGGGCTGAGCAAGGCACTGAACTCAAAAGAGGGAGGGATGGGGCCTGAGACCCACCCCAGAGAGGCAGCTCCAGGCCAGCGGCTCTGGGCTCTAGGACAGGTGGGACCAGGCCCAGGGCTGGGGGCAAGCCAGTGAGGGTCGGGAGGACCCCCAGGTCCTGAAACAGTAGAAGGCACGTTGAAAATGCAGAGTTCATTCGAGTCACCTGTGTTTCCCAGGAGGCCAGCCCAGCAAGTGTGTGCATGGCTGAGTGGGAGGTGGCTGGGGACCTGGCCTCCTTCCACGAGAATGGCAGCAGGGGCCCCATTCAACCCCACATTGCCCAAGGGACACAGAGAGTGTGAACACCGAGCACCCATGCCCAGCCCCTAAGGGAGCCACCTTTAGTGCTGGTGTGGGGGCAGGGGCAGCCTGACCGTCGTGAGGGTGGAAACCTCGGAGTCCTCCCACTGCCATGTCACTGCCAAGTCTCAGAGGTGCCAGGTGGGGATGGCTTCTCTCTAGTAGGACCACCCGCACTACAGAAGGCCCTGAAGGCTCCAGCGGGGCAGCAAGGGCAGCAGAGGGTCCCTTTCAGGGACAAGCTCCAGACTTTAGGCCCGGCTGGCAGGTGGCCATGTCCCTGTAGGAGGGACGCTCCCTCCAGCCTGCTACTCCGGAGTTCGCACCCACAGCGAGTGCCCTCGCAGCTCTGTCTGGGACTCTGGTACTAGTTAGCACTTCTTGTTCTTGTCAGGGGCCAGCCAGGCCCTCTCTGAGGCGGCGCCTAGCACCTCCCAGGCCTGGTGAGAGGGTGGCCCCTGCCGTCACAAGCGGGCCTGGCTGGGATGCTTGCAGCCCCGGATTCACCTCTGAAGAGGCAGCAGCTGCTAGTGGAGGGTTCTGAGACAAGGATGCAGGATGGGGCTGGAGAGGGGAGGGGCGTGGGCTGGGACAAATTATGGCAGTGCCAGCACCGCATCTCCCACCCTACAGGGAGGAGCCTGCCTCTGGAGGTGGGGTTGGGGGTGAAGCATGTTGGAGAATTTGGGAGAGGGATGTGATTCCAGTAATTAGTCCTAGAACTTGGGAGCAGCCATGTGTCACCCAGGCAGGAGGACCTGCTGGGAGAGCAGCATGGGGGAATGAGGCCAGGTGCAGACTGGGTGGAAGGTGGGGTGGGGAGAAGACCCCCAGCTGGACAGAGGGTTTTCCCCTAGAGCCACAGTCCCAGCTGCCCCATGGAGACCTGGGAGCAACTCAATCTGGGCTCTGCGGGTGAGGGACGAGGCTGGGCACCCTACGCCTCCCACCACCAGACCTGCCTGTCCTGCCATCATAGCTTGGTCTCGCTGAGGACGATATTGGCCGTGACAAAGATGAAGCAGGAGAATGCCCAGAGCAGCACGAAACCCACCCAGAAGGTGTGGCGGAAAGGGGACCTGTGCTTGTTGCTGACCCCGCAGCCAAAGGCCAGTTGGGTGTCCCTGCGGCAGTGGTACACCAGGAAGGCGGGGATGACGTACTGGATGCCGGTGCCTGCGTAGGCCCCTGTGATGCCCACCAGGGACTCCAGGTCGTGGGTGCAGAAGGCCACCAGCACGGGCGGCACCAGGGTGATGGTGGGAAACACGACGCGGTCCACCACCCACGGGTACGTGCCGCCCTCGCGGTGGAAAAGCGTCTTCCAGTTGTTGCGCAGGGTCACGGCAATGATGGGGAAGTTGGTGCTGATGGTGAAGACGGGGAAGAGGCCCAGGAAAAAGCGCACGGCGGCCAGGCCCACGACGTCACAGCGCGCGAAGTTGAGGGTGTACATGTCCATGAGGCTGTCGCCTCGGAAGCAGAAGATGGCGGTGAAGGAGAGGAGGCCATAAAAGGCCAGGATGAGCACGTAGTCCAGGAACACCAGCCTCGTGAGGTGGCGCTTGGAGGAGACGGGTGTGATGAGGGATGGTAGGGAGTGCTGGCACATGAAGGAGTAGACGCACACCCCGAACAGGTTCCGGACCCCCGAGAAGTCGGCCAGGGGCGGGTGCCCCTCCCCCTGTCCGTGCCCGATTCGGACCAGGGCCAGCACAATCATGACGGCAAAAGCTGGGAAACGAGAGAGGGGAGTCAGCCAGTGGGGACGGGCACAGCCCTACCTTGGAGTTTCTGGTCTGGAGGCACCTTTGTGGGGACTAGAGCCCCATGAGAAAGAATCACTAAATGCAATCACGCAGCCCTGTTCTTGGGCAGCTCAACAGTGGCTGCTCATTAGATGAAGGAAGTCCTGAATCCCTCTCTGTCCTGTTCTCCCCTCTTCCTGCTGAGCAGGAGGCCTGGGTAAGCGGGGACAGGGCTGCGCTGGGGCCAGTGGCAGGGTGGCCTGGCTCTGCAGAGGTGGCAGCTCTGTCTTCTCAGAGGAGGATGAGTCCTGGTCAGGCACTGCCTGGCTCCCTCATTAGCCCCCCAAGGCTCTCAAGGGCTCTGCCAGCTTCCTGGCAGGGAGCAGGCTGGGTCAGGACACAGGGTCACCCTCTATCCTTTGGTTTAAGGAATGTGAGACTGGGGAGCTGGCTGGGTAGATGCAGAAGGGCAGGGAGCATTTATGAGGAGGTGTCCTCCTGGGCCGAGGGCATCTGCTAGACACAGCTGAGGCCGACAAACAGGAGTGCTACCCGGGGCAGACAGGTGGGTACCCAGGGGCCAAGGGCAGGCAGGAAGTTGCCAGTGGTCATGCCAGGGCAGAAATGACACCAAGGACCTGGGCTGCTGACACCAAGGCTGGAGGCAGGTGGCATGTGGCTCTGTTTTCCTGGGCCTGGCAGCACAGCTACAGTGACTCTGTGGAAGTGGAAGGGGGCTCGTGGCCCTATCTGTTCAGAGTGAACAGCTTGCATTGCTGATGGAGACCGGGCTGGCTTCACTTCGCAGCCTTTTATGATGGCTCTCCTTTTGGGCCGCCACCAGAGACAGGCTCACAGCACGTCCTCCACACTGAGCTCCCCAGAGGCAGCCTGCGCAGCCCAGGCACAAGGGGCTGTGTCCCGGCACTCTGCAGAGATGGCATGCTTAGATCTTTCTGCGTCTCTGGCTTCTGCCCTCCGGTCTACCTAGAACCTCAGTTAGCTACTCACACATGGAGACCATCGGCGTCCATGTCTGTTCTGAAGCTGACCAAGCCCTGTTCTCTCTGTTCAGAACATATCTGACAGCCCCTCTAGCCTGCGCCCTCACCCCTCAGGTGAAGCCCACGGGGACATGTTACATTTCTTGGTGAGCAGCACAGGCAAGTGTGAAGGGGCAGTGGCCAAACAGGCTAGCTTGAAGCTCGGTGGCTCCTGTCTGGGGCCCGGGCAGAGCCTCAGGGCTCTTCTGCAGGTGGACATCTGGGTACCCCATGGTCCCCTTTGGGCCAGGCACACTCCCCAACTCCTGGAAGGAAGAGTTGGTTCTGATGGGACCCACAGGGAGCCAGGCAATGTCTTCCCATAATGACACTTGGGAGTGGGATGGAATCTTCATCTATTCCTTTTAATGAGAACTGCCTGACACTGGCGGGGATGGGAGGGGAGGAGTGGAATGTGGAAACCTGCCTGAGAAAATTGGCAGTAAAGAAGATGATTTGTTTCTGCCTCTCATCGCCCGCTCCAGTCTCCGCCACTCCTGACTCTGAGGGCCTGGGGACTCTTCCTCCCCCGGCATCACACATTGTCCCAGCCCTGGTCAGTCAAGGGGAAGTGGTGACCTAGCCCCTTCAAGTCTCAGCCCAGGGAGCTGCCTCCAGCTTCTCCCACTGGGGATGGATGGCACAGGACACCTGTGGGAGAGCCCAAGACCCTGAGCAATCTGCTCGCCCCAGAGATTTCTGAGGGTGGGTACGGGGGGTGTGCGCAGCAGAAGCCTGTGTGGGAGATCCCCCCCACAGGAGGTGTGGCAGGGCAGGGTGTGCGGGAGGGGGTACCAGGGAGAGACTAAGCAGGCTGGAGGTGGAGTCCCTGTGTGCCAGAAAGGGCTACAGGGAGAGCTGAGCAGGGTGGCACTGGGGTACAGCAGGCAGACTGGGCCCAGGGGCACCTGGTGATTATTCAGGAGGCTGCAGCAGACAGTTCTGCCATCATAGGTGGGGCATGAGGGTCAGGACAATGGGGGCAGCTGCTGTAGGGCAAGATTCAAATCCTGGACTGCCACTGCCATCTCAGGGCGCCACCTTGACACCTGGCACTTGGCCCTGGCCAAGGCTGGCATGAACTTAGAAAAAGGCAAGTGGAGAATTCCTCTAGCTGTCTGTCGCTTGGCCCTGGGTCTGCTGAGCAGGCAAGAAGGCAGGAAGAGGTCAGCTGTCTGGACGTGAGCATCCCTGTCACTGCTCTCTCCTGCCCTGGACGCAGCTCATGCTTCTCTGCTCCCAGCCTTGCATCTCCAAAGAAAGGCAGCTCTCCTCACAGCGCTGACTGTGGGATTTCCTTACAGTAAATAAAATAATTTATGAAGTAGGTTTCCAAAGAAATGAGATGAGTGTACACACACGCACCCCACCCCTGAAATGTACCCCTTCTAACTGGCATCCTCCTGCACAGCTATCTTGGGAAGAGGCTGCCTTTGACGCCAGCAATGGTACGGAACAACCTCTAGAATCTTTGGCTAGAACAAAGCCATGGCGGCCTGGCGCAGTGGCTCACGCCTGTAATCCCAGTACCTTGGGAGGCTTAGGCAGGCAGATCACCTGAGGTCAGGAGTTTGAGACCAGCCTGGCCAGCATGGTAAAACCCCACCTCTACTAAAAATTAGCTGGGCTTGGTGGTACACACTTGTAATCCCAGCTATTTGGGAGGCTGAGGCAGGAGAATCACTTGAACCCAGGAGGCAGAAGTTGCAGTGAGCCGAGATCATTGCATTATTGCATTCCAGTCTGGGAGACAGAGCAAGACTCCAAAAAAAAAAAAAAAAAAAAAAAAACAAAGCCACGGCCATGGGTGATTTAAAAAATGGATTTCATGGTCTTCTAGCCATAATTAGTTTCACCTCATAATGCCACTACCTAATTAGTCACCCATTTTGTTCTTTTAATTGTCTTAAACAAGTCTATTTCCAAAAACCAGGTCTACCTTCGTGGGCTGGATGTTTGCTGCTGCCTGGGAGTCAGAAGCAGATGCTAGAAGCTCTTGGGAGGTGATTCCAGAGCGTTAGAAAGTAGGATGAACAGGGGGCAGGGGTAGCTGCAGGGCCGTGTGGGCCTTCGTGAGCTCCCCTTGGTCACACCCTGTGCTGCTGTCAAAAGCTCACCCAGCTGTGTAGCAGCTCAGCTGCATGGAGATGCCACCAACTCTGGGGCTGATCAGACAGAGTGCACACCCAGCCAAGGTGGGTCGTTCACCTGTGAATCCCGACCTGTGCTCAGAGCACCCACACACCAGGAGGGGGAGAGGCTGCCATGGTGAGGAGTGCACCCGGGAAGGGTAGGTGGTTCTAGAAGAGCCATGGCCCCCAAAACAGGGGTGAGGACCAGCTTCTCAGTGGAAATGGCCCCAGCCAAGGTGGAGGGTGAACCCCAGCTACCTGGGGAGGTGGGGGCAGGGCCCTCTGGTTCCCCACCACCATGAGGCTATGAAGGTGGGTGCTGGACTCTGTGCCTTGGGAGTGGAGAGTGAGGGGAACTGTTCCAGCCTGGTCGCCAAACCAGCAAGTTCAAAAGAAACTAGCACCACCTAGAACCTCAAGTTCCCCCGAGAGACAGAGGAAAGGGAGAGAAGGAAGGAAGGAAGGGAGGGGAAGGAGGGAGGGAAGGAGGGAAAAGAGGGAGGGAGGGAGGGGAAAGAGAGAGGGAGGGAGGGGAAGGAGGAAAGGAGGGAGGGAGGGAGGGAGGGAGAGAGGGGAGGTCAGAGTCCCGACCTTGTGGGGTCCCAGTACCATGGGCACAAGGCTTAACCCCCACGGCCCACCTAGCCAGGCCCCTGTGACCCCACACCTTTGTCTGGCCCCTCCCTCCCTCCTTCCTCTGGCTGTGAAAGGAGCAGAGTTCAATAGCCATCTCCTAGATTGATTGCCAAATCCCTGGGAGACAGCTGCTCCAAAAACTCATTAGGTCTGATCATAAATCAAGATGAAAGGAGGATGACAGGTTGTGGAGACCCTGCCAGGATGCGTGGTAGGGAGCAGGGCTCTGAGCGCCACACCGACATTCAGGGCTTGGCCACAGCCGCCGAGACAGCCTGCGGCCACCCCGTGGATGCTGTGTGGGAGGCCAGACGGGCGTGGAGGCGGGACAGAGCAGAAACTGCTCCCCAGACAGCTAAGGACCAGACACCCACGGTCAGATGTGCAGGGGGGTCTGCCCTCAGCAGGGCCGGCAGTTCCCCAAGAGCCTATCACAGGCAGTGAATGTCCAGAACACCTGCGTCCACATCCACCCACAATTCCACACCAGGAGTCCCGCTCCAAGAGGTGGTGACCAGCAGTGAGGAGCTGGGAGGAAGCAGAGGGGAGGACGGGGGAGGAGGCTGACACGAGTCACACAAGCGGCTGTTGGGCCTCAGAAGCCTTGGCTACAAAGTGACAAGGGGAGGCAGGAGACTTCTCTTTCCATATCTGAGCAAAAGCCACTGCACTTGTCTTGTGTAACCCATGGGCCCAGCTGGACCGTTCATTCCTTCAACAAGAATGGACTGTGTCTCTGTTGGGTGCTGGGCACTATGCTGGCCATCTGGGGACAGCAGACTGAGACAGGGGCCCTGTCTTTCCGGAGCCCAGAGTCCAGGGGACAACAGGTAGAAGGTATGGGGACAAATTACAACCAAAGAACGGGCTGGTTATTAGGTATATGATGAGATCCCTGTCACGGGAGGTGGCCAAGGCCAAGGGGAGGAGGCTACCTGGTGGGAAGTCCCAGAGGGAACCAGGCATCAGACAGGAGGTGGAGGGCCTTTCAGGGCCATTCCACCCTACACGGCCTGTGGCTCCTATGACTCCTCATGCTTTAGGAAGAGCAGGTCAATGCAGGGTGAAGACGAGGAGGGGGACACCCAGAGGCAGAGCCTCACTAAGGGCCCATGAGGTTGCCTGCCAACGCTGCTGGCTGCCCACAGGCTCGTCCTAACAGTGGATCTCAGCTC